ATGATACATCTATTATTGGGTGATCAAGGGAGATAACTAAAAATAGGTTGCCAGACAACAAAACATACGCCCACAGCAGCTAAATCGTCTGAGCAGTCGACCAGGGTTGTCGCATATTTATTCTTTTGTAGGTAATTAGGTGAATTTAATAGACAATTTCATACAGATGACATTATCATTTTCGTCGTATGAGGGTTCACAAGGTTCTAAAAACCAAAACAAGGGCTGTAACTCTGGAAGTAATCTAATGAAATTGTTGAAATTCCACAGGCTTTTTTGTTTTACTAATTCAAATAATGCATATAAATTTCATACAGATCGGATGATAACTTTTGTCGTCTGAACGTTCACAAGGAACAACAAAGTGAAACAAGGACCTGACTCACAGCGTAATTAACGGAAATGGCTGAAATTCAATAGGCTTCTTCGTTTCACTAGTTTAAATGATGCATATCAATTTCAAACAGATCGGTTGATAACTGTAGTCATTAGAGCGTTCACAACATTCAACAAAGTGAAACAGGGGCCATAACTCTTGATGTAATTATCAGAAATTGCTGAAATTCAATAGGCTTCTTTGCTTTTCTAAATCAAATGATGCATATAAATTTCATACAGATCGGTTGATAACTTTTGTCATTTGAGCGTTCACAAGGTGCAACAAAGTGAAACAAGGGCCATAACTCCAGAAGAAATGAACGGAAATTGCAGAAATTCAATAGGCTTCTTCATTTCACTAATTTAAATGATGCATATCAATTTCAAACAGATCAGATGATAACTGTTGTCAGAGCGTTCACAAGATTCAACAAAGTGAAACAAGGGCCATAACTCTAGATGTAATTAACGGAAATTGCTGAAATTCAATAGGCTTCTTTGTTTTAATAATTTAAATGATGCATATAAATTTCATACTGATCGGTTGATAACTTTTGTCGTTAGAGCGTTCACAAGGTGCAACAAAGAGAAACAAGGGCCATAACTCCAGAAGAAATAAATGGAAGATATTGAAATTAAATAGGCTTCTTCATCTCACTAATGCAAACAACATATATCAATTTCAAAACAATCGGTTGATAAATGTAGTCTGTAGAGTGTTCACAAGAAATTGTGGACGATGGAAGGACGGACCGACGGCAATATACGACCACATTTCCATGTGGGCGTATAAAAACGAATTGCCGTATTAATATATACTGAGCGCCATGGAAACAGCATCAATTTTTTTCCCAAATATTTTATTACTAGGGGGTTTTGTATGTATAATATTATGCAATACTATGAACTATTGTTTCACACAATGCTCCCAAACGCAAAAAATATCGGCCCGTGTGCACAAAAAAAAATTGCACGAGATGCACATGAAAAACCCAATATTCATGTGCAGCATTGTGTGTGAGCCCTTTAAAAGAATGTTTTCATCTTAATGTGCAGTCGTTGAACTGTGAAACGTCAATCTGTCGTAATTTGTTGTTGGACGTGTGAAGGAATCGCGCTAGAGTCAGAGATGCCGAGACTTACTGAAAATCAATGGAATGAAGCCATGGGAATGTCCAGGGCTGGCATGTCTACATGTGCTATTGCCAGACACTTCAATTGTCATCAGTCCACTATTGTAAGGTTGGTGGAACGTGTTCGAGTTACTGGATCAACACGTGACCGTCAACATCCTGGTCCACAACACGTTACAACCCAGACTCAAGACCGCTACATCCGGGTCACTCATCTGCGTGACAGATTCCGCCCAGCGACTCGAACAGGTGCAGCAGTCATCGGACGACAAGGACCAGTAAGTGCCAACACCGTAAGACGTCGTCTAAGAGAAGTAGGACTCCGTGCACGACGACCTTATGTTGGAGCTATCCTCAGGGATCATCACCGTCAGCGGCGTTTGATATGGGTTCAAGGACACCAGACATGGAGAAAAGTAGACTGGCAAAGTGTGCTCTTCAGTGATGAGAGTAGCTTTCATCTTTATCGCGCTGATGGCCGTCAACGTGTGTGGAGGCGTCTTGGGGAACGTCTTGCAGACTGCTGCGTCTTTGAAACGAATCGATGGGGTTGGGGAAGTGTAATGGTGTGGGAAGGCTTCACATTTCATCACCGGACTGCCCAACACATTTGCAGGGGTCATGTTAATGCTGAAGCCTACCGTGATGTCTTGCAACCAATTGTTTCAAGCGCACCCACAACTTCAGCACTCCCAACAGGATAATGCACGTCCGCATACCGCCCGTTTTAGTATGGACTACCTGGCTGCTAACAACATCAATGTCTTGGACTGGCCAGCCATCTCTCCAGACATGGCACCGATAGAACATGTCTGGGATGAGATTGGACGGGGTCTGTATCGGAGACCACACATGCACACCATTGCTACTTTAGAAGCTGCTCTTGTCCAATAATGGAACAATTTGCCCCAGGCTTTCTTTCAAACATTGGTAAATTCCATGCGACGTCGCTGCACAGCGTGCATAAGAGCCCGTTGAGGACACACCCGCTACTGACATCTGTGTCATACTTTTGGTTTTGACCCCTTCGACTTTGTACCGTTGATTACAGATTACATGTCACGAAAATAGAAGATTTGGGGCGCCATCTTGGATTTCAACCATCTTGGATTCTGACAATCTTATTTAAGATAGTGGGAATGGACTCTACATACCTGAAAGCATAAAATAGACACATTACAAGCCATACCTGGCCTTTCTAAGTGATCTGTCAAGCTCAAAACGTCCGAAAATCCAGAAAATAGTCGCAATTTTGGAAAAAATGGCCGCCCGCAACCATTTTCGGCAAGAAAATTCTGAAAATATTACGGTGTAAGTTTGACCCCGAGTGGACTTCGGTGACGGGTAGAAACCTTAGAAATTCCAAAAAAAAGTGAAAAGTGAAACACCCTATTGGACAGGCCACACTACTCCTTGTCACGTACATCCGCTGAACCGGGGAATTGATGCTGAAATTGAAAACAACATCGAATGTGATATGGTTGGCAAATACTATTTCAAATACAAGCTAAACTCTTGCAGTTTAGCTTATATTTGAAATAGTTTTACAATTTGCAAACCATGTCACGTTCAATGTTATTTTCAATTTCAACACTTCACCAAACCATTCAACCTGAAGAAGAGCAAGTCGTTGATATCAACATAATGGTCCCGATCACACGGTGGCGACCCCAAAAGACGTCATAATGATGGTTGCCAAGTAGAAGTATCAAAATTCTAAATTTGTTTGACTCTCATGCTTAACATGTAAAGCGACAAGAAAGTAGACAGTTTTCTTCTTAATAATAGAAATAAGATGAAACAGAATTAAAATTTACACTGAACAAAAAAAAGAAGTTGGATTATACATTGTCTTTTAAGCGGAAATTGCAAATTTTCTAAGAAAGTCAAAACATAATTATTTCTATGTCTTTTGCTCAATAGGTTGTCAACTCACAATTATACGATCATAGGTGTCATTCTCACACTTAAAACTCATTTACACAGGAAATAATAACACAATTACCTCCCTTGTTTTCTATTCTCCACCATGGAGTAGCTTTTTGCAAACGTTTGAAAATGAAGAGGAAAATGATATTTTTGCCAATTTCTCAGCTGGCAATAGTGAATTATAGGATTAATAGGATTATTCTTTATCAAGGTAGGACTGTTTATGGATACCATCTATTTTCAGGCTTTATTTTAATAAATTTTAAAAATATAACTTAAAAATTTGCAATTTCCGCTTTAATTTAGAAATTGCATGAAGAGAAGTTAGAGTCTAATATACTGCCATAAGAGCTAAATATACCGTATTTACTTCATATTTTCCAAAGTTACAATTCATCCATTTTTGTATTGCTCATGCACATTTAGATAGCAAAATACAGCCACAGGCTCTAAATCTAAAGCTGTTGTGAATGTCTTTTGGAGGCATACCCGGGTGACCCGGCAAAGGCCTACGCTTTGAAAAATAAAATTTCCGTGTTTATGATTTGCCACTGTTTTCAACTTCAAGATCGGATGAATGAATGTGTTTACTGTTTAAAATTGTGTTCTCTAATATATTTTTTTGTCTAGTGTAAACTGTAATTCTATATAATAATTAGATCTACAAGTATAAGAGTATAATCTTCTTACCATGGGTCGAATTCGTGAATAATGCTTTCAAAACGGATGACAGCGAATAATCTTGAACTAAATCCAGCCAACCAAGCAAGGGTCAAGATGAAAAATGTTAGTAAACTTTTCCAGCCACCGGGATTACCCATGGCTGATCGAATATCTGTTTTTCCAACCATGCCGGTGTCAGCCATCTTGGTAAATATAATATGTGATGTCGCCACGTTAGCTTCCTCCACCAATCAGATGCAAGCATGTGGATATGGCCACAGATCACTAATTATTTCCCCATTGACTTTAATGTTAATTCTCGTCTCTTAGACCGGCTCTAACATTTTCCCAAATTTTCGTTGGGTGGAACGCTTTCTGCCAAAGATGGATCAACATGTGGCAAACTCTTGCCCAAAATCATGTATGAGGTTCACCATGAAAAACTTGAGATACACAAGCTGGAAGTAGAGATAAATAAAACATGCAATTTTCGGCCCTACATTTCAACGTTACCAACCCGTACGTAACTAACTAGATAACAAACCTTAATCTCTCAACCCTCCGTGTTTCGAGATAAGACATGAGGCCATTGCCTTCAACCATAGATAATACCGTACGGTATTATCTATGCTTCAACGTAGCACATGTGGGAGCGATTCGCACCCGGCATTTTTAAACAAAATTGAAAATAGTTTTAATCAAAACAACGATTGATTATTGTTATTTATAATATTTCTACCACACCCAACTACAATTAAGCATATAATCCTACCTGAAACGGGTACAAATCGTCGTTTTTAAAATCGAGGCGTTAAGCCGTTACTAAGACCGCCATATTTTTAAACGATACGCTGTCATCATGAAGGCGGGGCTAAATATAAGGCTTTTATAACAGCCAATCAAAAGGGCAATCTAAAGCACAGTAACTATGAATGGATTTCGATGTCGGTGAAATGTCAGACAAAAACAACGCTTCATTAATTTAAAGGCGAATATTTGGAGTTAGGCGACAGTTGTGCCACTACATTGGCCTCTGTAAGTTTAATTAATCATAATAGCATAAACTTATCTTATTTTAAAGATGTTACATGCATTAATAAAGAAATTGAGTTTGCCACTTGGAACTAAAGCAAAGGCATCCAATCGTAGCTAAAAACAAACACATCAGTAAATCTCAACGTTTTTAGCTATACGTTCTCGTAGCTAGTAACTAACGTACGTAGCGTGTCTCAGATGTTCAGAATGTAACCAACCTTGTATCCTTCCGCCTCAAAATCATAAATATTCACCAAAATGTATTTTCAAACCCTTTTTTTCGATTCTACACCAAAAAGTCAACAAAAATCGCCATGCAGTAGGGGGAAAAAGGGAAAGGGAGAGAGAGACTAAAAATAACTTTGGCCCTTGTTTCGTACCTACAGATTGTCTGGGGTTATTTGCTACACGCGGTAAGACAATCCGGAGACTATTTGCCACATGTGGCAAGTCTATCAACCGATTTCAATGAAACTTACAGATAACGATAACATTAATAATATCTCAGAGTAGGTCAAATTTCGACCACTCCCGGTTAGCGGTTTCGGAGATAACAGGTTACCACACATTTCATGTGGCACAGCTACAGACCACAATTATCAACCGATACCCATGAAACTTACAGAATATGATAACATTAATAATATCTCAGAGTAGCCAAAATTTCGACCACTTCCGGTTAGCGGTTTCCGAGATATTTGGTTACCACACATTTCATGTGGCACGATTACAGACCGCAATTACCAACCGATTTCAATGGAACTTGCAGATTATAATTACATTAATAATATTATCTCAGATCAATAGCCAAAATTTCGACCACTTCCGGTTAGCGGTTTCCGAGCTATCAGGTTACCACACATTTCATGTGGCACGGCTACAGACCACTATTATCAACCGATTTCCATGAAACTTACAGAATATAACATTAATAATATCTCAGAGTAGCCAAAATTTCGACAACTTCCGATAAGCAGTTTCGGAGATATCAGGTTACCACACATTTCATGTGGCACGGCTACAGAACGCAATTACCAACCGATTTCAATAACACTTGGAGATTATGATGACATTAATAATATCTCAGAGTATCAAAAATTTCGACCACTTCCGGTTACCAGTTTCGGAGATATCAGGTTACCACACATTTCATGTGGCACGGCTACAGACCACAATTACCAACCGATTTCAATGAAACTCGCAGATTATAATTACATTAATAATATCTCAGAGTAGGCAAAGTTTCGGCCACTTCCGGTTAGCGGTTTCCGAGATATCAGGTTACCACACATTTCATGTGGCACGTCTACAGACTGCAAATACCAACCGATTTAAAGATGGGTTCCCGCGTACAAACTGGGTGATTTAATGGTATATATGGACCAAAAACATATTCAAACTAATTAATTTGTCATAATTATGCTTCAAATCCTTCTCAAACATTGTAATTGCGAAGGAATGCCCTGCTATTAAAATTCGATCAAACCGTCTTGGGAGTCAGAGGAGAATTATTTGCATACATAAGACGATGTTGTCTTTAATCGATTACAATTTATTACAAATATCTAATCCTAATTATATTCTCGGATTATCCACTACCCGCGTCTTTTTCCGTCATTTTTATCTCAGAAAGTATTGTACGTCTAACTCTTCATAAAGTTTATCAACTTGTACATCAAGCGCTCAATGTTCGCTTGTGACCTTTGACATCGTTCCTGCAGAAGTTCCTAATCGTCGGGATGTTTATTACGGGAACCCTTACATTTTTGTCCTGTATACGCTCCATGAGTGTTTTTCGGGGAATCCAGTATTTTTCTAGTAAGATTGGATATCTCTATTTTCCATATATACCAAAATTGCCATACTTTTATTGGAAATAACCAACCGATAAACACTTTTTCTGGGAACCCATCTTTAAATGAAACTTGCAGATTATAATTACATTAATATATCTCAGAGTAGGCAAAAGTTCGACTACTTCCGATCTAACAGAAAAGAAAAAGATTGAGAGAGATCTAGAAAGTACGGTGGCTGATAAGGGACATGAACAATAATATAATTTGTTTTTTTATAATTCCCACCCAAGTCAATTTTAATATAATTTGTTTTTTTATAATTTTCACCCAAGTCAATTTTAATATAATTTGTTTTTTATAATTTTCACCCAAGTCAATTTTAATTCAATCAAACGACCGGCCAGTCTCGGAGACGGTGAAGAGAGAGTTGACTCCTATTTCTAGTCAAAAATTACAATGGTGATAACTTTGTTCAGAATAAAGTAATTTGACTGAAATTTTCAATATAATCTTCTTTCATCATCTATTTTTGAACTGTTATAGCAAGAATGGCCAACTCTCTATTAAAATCTCCAATAATGTATCTTTAAGTAATTATGGATGAGTACACAAAATATGGAGCTTGTCGATCGAATCGGAAGTGCCATATTTTTCTTACAGCTATGGTAGTTACATTTTCTGAATCCTTGAAGGAATGCCTAAAATATTTTCCAGGTAGAATATTGATTTAAGTCAACTGATCTTCACCATTTTGAATTGAATATGGAAAACGTTGAAAAGTCTACATTAACGGGCTTGTAAATAAACACAATAGGCCGTAGTATGTTCAAAGCGTCTCCTATTTCTGAAATTAATATATTTCAGGATAGCTTGGCTCATGGTCGAATCTTTGGTATTTGACTATTTCAAAAATTCGAATTTTACTTTGACGTTTTTCGTGCCTACAAAGTTGTTTACGAGTGAAAAATTTTCCATTAACGGCTTGAAAATAAACGAAATAGGCCGCCGTTTCGTGAACTCGTCTCCTATTTCTGGTTAGCGCCGTTAGCCTCCATACCAAGAATGGTTGGTGGCTTTGGAATCAATACATTTTCAAAACGTTTTACGTATCCGAAATCACCGAAATTTACTGATGGAAAAATTAACCTACATAGCTGTAACTTTGTGACTGTTTGATCTATTTTACTAATTCTTTTTTCTTTGAGTACCATAAAACATTTACTTTAAATCTGCTATTTCCGATTTTCGAAATTCGAATGTTACGTCATTGACATCTTGTCCCGGAAGTAAAACAAATATGACAACTTATTAAATATTAGTACGATTTTCATGAAATTAGGAATGTAGGTAGATCTTGTTAATCCATCTTCAACGATGTCATTGGACATTTTCTAAGTCATCTCCCCTTGGAGAAATTAAGGGTCAAAGTTTTCAAAAAATTCCTCAAAAAGTAGGTCAGATTACTGATGCATACACATAATATGAAGTCTATCGATCGAACCGGAAGTGCCACCATCTTAAAATGTGAAAAATTCCTCAGGCTTTTGCGATATTTTACTTACAGACACGGGAGTTAAATTTTCTGAATCCTTGAAGGAATGCATAAAAAACGTTTAGAGCAGAATTTTGATTTCGGTCAACTGATGGTCTCCATTTTGAATTGAATATGAAAACCAATGAAAAGTCCACTTTAACGGACGTGAAAATAAACACAATAGGCCGTAGTATGTTCAATGCATCTCCTATTTCTGAAATTAATACATTTCAGGATAGCCGAGATCAAGGTCGAATTTTTCGTGTTTGAAAATGTCAGAATTTCGCATTTCGCTTTGACCTTTTGTTGTTTACAGGACAATTTATGTCTTTAATTATCAAAATTTACAAATTTAACCTGAATATTCGAACAGCTGAGATCAATCTGATTCTAAAAATATTAGTTCCGTTCAAAGTTATCTGAATTAATTTTAGGATATTTTCCTGCAATTTTCATTTCATTTTCTCAACCGTCCTGATTTTAAAAGGCTTGATCCATTTTTTTGAAACTTCTGGAACGAGAAGTCATTCCGATTACAGCAATCCAAGTCTCTGTTATTTCCCTTTAGTTTTCAGATTATTTTTTTGCCCGGGTGCAATGTTTCTCACTATGTTTAGACTTGTAACTTCGCGAGTTTTTCACCGATTTCGATAATTATGTTTTCTTGTTCTTTTTCTTTTTAGATCCATGTCACATGACGATGAATATGAAAGCTTTCATATCTGCATGGGACAGTAACAGATCTAGTTATTATTATTTTATTTTTATTTATTTTTTTTTTTTTTTTTTGTGTATTTTTTGCAAATCGGTTTCCTCAGAATCTAACCATAGGATCTTTTTGAAACTTTGACCTACCCCCCCCCCCCCCAAAAAAAAAATGGGGAACGAACGTTGATTAAATATATTTTCAAAACGTTTTACCAATTCGAAATCACCGAAGTTTACAAACGCAGAAATTGACAATGCATAGTCGTAACTTTGTGGATTATTGGCCTATTTTGAACCGGAAGTTGAGACCAACTTGACAACTTCTTTAATATTTGCACGATTTTGTTGAATTTTGGAATGTAAGTGGATCTTACTGATGCGACGTGAAAGATGTCATTAGAAATTTTCTATCTTATTAAAAATTTTTTTACGAAATATAGGTCAGATTACCTTGAATTATTTTTCCTGTACTAGCTACGACACTACTGATTCGTACACAAAAAATGGAGTTTGTAGGTCAATACGGACGTGCCACCATCTTGAAATGTGAAATGTCCTTAAGGCTTTTTTGATATTCTACTTACAGACAAGGGAATTATATTTTCCGAATCCTTGAAAAAAAAGCCGATAAAATGTAGGGCTTAGAATTTTGATTTCTGGCAAATGATGGACGCCATTTTGAATTGAAAATGAAAAATAGTGAAAAATCCACATTAATGAGCTTGAAAACATACACAATAGGTCGTGGCTTAGAGAATCAGTCTCCTATTACCGAAATCATTACATTTCTAGATAGCCAGACTCAGGCACGAATTTTTGGTATTTCAAAATTTCAAAATTTCGAATTTCGTGCCGACAACGTTGTTTACGGGGCAATTTCTTTCTTAAGATTCTGTCAAGCTTATATCCAAGAATCTAATCTTTGGATCTTTCTAAATCTTTAACCTGTCTCCCAGAATGGA